GCCAAGTTTGTGAAGGTTGAATGGCAAACGATTCCTTGGAGTGCACAGATTTACACACAAGACTCCGGTGTTCGCCATGGCTCCCATAAGATTATTAAGTTGCAGTAATTGCATTTTGTGCACTAATTAAACAACTGCTAAATGGGAAACACAATGGAACACAGGTCCTTAATGTCAGCTAGATTGTGGTGTTTGCAGAGCAGTTCTTTGGTTGCCCTGCACATTACGCATACGCAAAAGAGCTTCAGTCAATAATGTATTTAAAATGCCATTTGTGTAAATGGATTATGTGTAATCGAAGCAGCAGAAGCACACTCCCTGCCCCATGGCCCCTGACGCGTGTGTACATATAGCTCCACTTCTATGGAGAAATACATCCATACATGTTTGTATTATTGCTGCCTAGGAGCATAGTAAACCAGCCCATCGCTTGCGCAGTGGGTAGAGCAAATGGCAGCAAATTGTGATGCCGTAAGCCAAATATAAACACAATAAAGCCAAACAAGCCTCAAACAACAATGAACACACCCACACACACACACACACACACACCGAACAGGCAGCGGGCCCACTCCTGTTGTGGCATCCACTGTAACTGTTAGTGAAGCATAAGGCTGAGAGCCGACTGCAGATTGTATGAGCATGAAATGTGCCTGTAAGTCGATGCCACAAAATCAGGCACAGCAGCAGCTAGCAGCTACAGGCTGACTTTTCGGCCAACACTGAGATCAAAAGGGATGTTCAATGAAGGAAGGCAGCAGAAAAATGTTTAAATCAACATAGGAAAATGGGGAGCAGGTGGAAGATCTGGCCAAATGGTCACAGAAATTTCAATAAATCTCAGACCTATGCTTTCGCTCAGTGTAGTCATTTCCCGTGGGCTCAAGTTGTATCTAAAACGGGGACAACATTCGCAGTTGGTTTCTTGGGATACACACGCAAACACACAGGGTGGCACTCGATACTTGTGTGTGTGTGGGAGAAATGCTCATTGGAGGACGGACAAGGGCACAACAAAAGAAGGCCAGAGATGAACCAGGAAGCCGAGCAGGCAGTAGAGCAGGACCCTGATTGATACGGATCGATGCTCCTCTATTGGTCACTGTGGCCGCTGGTCGGATTTACAGATGACACCCAAAGGGCAGGAAGAGCTCTTTATGCAGTAGCAAATATGCCAAAGCCAGAGCGTAGCTTCCCAGCTCCACTTCACATCCGGCACATTGTTGCAGAGATTCGAATATCCATGGAGTAACCCTCGCAACCCTTCTTTTCATGAGCTGCCATTTAAGGCTTTATTTCTTGTTCTTGTTTTTGTTTTTTGTTGTTGCCAGTGCACTTAATAATATATTTACGTATAATTTACGAGAATAAAAATGCATTTTGCCACCTGCTCCCCACCACTCCTGCAGTTCCTGTCCCAGTATGTCCTGTGTATTGTCGTTGCTGTTGTCTGCATTGATTTAATGCCAGTGGCGATGGTGGTGGTCCCAATGGTAATTGTGGCAGCAGCAGGGTATATCCGTTTCGATTTCGGCACAAAAGAAATATTTCGATCGAGGAAAGATTTCATGTCTCCACGAAGATTCACTGGATTATAATTTGCAAAGTCGCTTCTGGTTAGCTGTTGAAGGCTGTGAAAAGTGTGGGGTATCCTTTGGGCATTGCAGTTTCTGCTGGTGCTTTGACTGCAGTTTTCCCGACACAATTTGTATGCTCCAGAGACACACATACACAAAGTAGGAGGAAGCTCTTTGGAGAGCTAGAAGAGATATTGCGCATACGCCGCGTCTTCCCGTTTTGTGTCATCACAAAAGCTTTTGCAGCTGCATAGATAAGCCTCAGATGGGGGCAGCAGAAGCTGCTGCATAACCCCGGGCAACAGCCAACCCCATCCCATTCCACTCCACTCCACTCCACTCTGCTCTTCTACAGAGTCCAAGAAACGAGAGAATAAACTTATGTCATAAGCCATAGCCCGACGACGTACATAGGGGTCCAAGCAGAAGGCATTAACCCGTGTAAGCCGATCCCCGGGGCAGACAATGCCAGGATACACCACTGGGAAAAGTCTGGCACATGGACAGAGCACATTTTAAGCTTATTTAATGCGCGCATAAATTATTCAGGGCGAAAAAGCAGCGCGTTCTCGGCATACTCAATTATTTTAGATTATGTTTGGATTAGTGGTCAGGAGGTACTCCTCCTCCTGCCATGTATCGTAGGACACTCTTTGGTATGCCCCTCGGGCTATTGCACTTTATTGTCAGTGGGAATGCCGATGACAGGCACGAAATGGCCTTTGGGTGGCCGGGATGGGCCTCCAGTTTGGTTCTTTGCCTGACTCTCGTGCTGTGCCTTTTTTTCTGTGTGCGAAAATTGTTTGCGGCCAGCCGCTTGGACCAATCAATATTTAATTGAACCATCCTGGGTGGGCGGAATTTTCTGCTTGGCAAATTAATTCGTTAAATTGAAAATATGTGCGAGATAAAGGCAAACAAAAAAAGAAATGGCTGAATGGAATTTTAAATAATAATTTCCCATTTATCTCTGTACTTTATAATTTATAACTTTATAATTTATAATAATCTTTTTTTTGTAATCAGAGTTAATTTACTCAAATGTTTTATGCACCAAACAGTTTGGTTGCAGCAGCAACCAAAGATCCGTTCGAGCAGGCTCGAATCTCTAATCGAACATTCGGTTTGCCGTCAAACCACACGAGCTACAACCATTTTGTATTACAGTTGGATTCCAATTTGAATGTAAAATTTATGTGTATCTGCTACTTCTTTGATCCTCTAATAGTACTCGAAAATTCTGCTCTAAATTTCTGCTTTTGAAACTTCTTTGAAGGCGAACCAACTACCTACTCATTTATATATAATCTTGGCCATTGAAGGCATAAATTAGATTACAGCAGACCATTTCCTGCTCGTTATGGCTGCGTTGAAAGCATTTTTGCACTTAATTTATATTAATGTGACTGCCATCTAGCTTCTAAATTAATTTACACGACAAAAAAGGAAAGTCGCAAAAGCGACAATCTGCAAAATCCCAGATGCCTCATGGAATAAAGGTCCCTTTGTCTGTGTCTCTTTTCGATGATACTCTTTTATTTCCAATTGTTGATGACTGGCTGCCAGGGCGGCGCTGCGCTGTCATGTTAAATCAGATTTGTTATGAAAATAAATAGACAAAAACCTAAATTCTTGTACAAATAAATTGTATTAATAAATTGATGTATTTACGACATAGTCGGATTTATCAATTAGTTAGAAAAACTCAGTTTCCATTTGTTGCGATTCCAGGAAAATTTATTGCGATTCTTATGTTATTCTTTATGTTCTATTTTTCAATTCCAAGGTTAATTTTTGACAGTTGGGAGTAACTTCTAGTGATTATTAATAGTGCTTAAAAGCCAGACAAGTCTCAGCCTTTAAAGACGTTGCCAATCGTATGTCCATCGGTCATTCTGTTTACTTTTCCTGGTGGAAAATAAAAATAAGTCTAGTTGTATCTCTCAAACTAAAGTGACCCAATTTAGTCTCTGGATTTGCCATAACAATTGATACGATGCACACACACATTCACACATACACACATACATACATATATCTATATGTATTCCGTTTCATTTCAATTCCATTGGTAAACCCAAAAAGGCGCCGCAGGCAACGACACGCTGATTAAATCAAATAACTTATGGCTTAGCCCAGCCAAGCCCCACTGCCACCAATCTCTGTGATGTTCAGATGTTGCTTCGCTGTGCTCTCTCTACACTCGCTGTGGCAGGTTGCTTGCCCCCAATAGTCTGCTCCTTGCTCCAGTTGTCGGACAACGGAAATCAGCGCTGCCCAATCTGCAGCTCTCTCGTACAAGTATGTGTGGCAGTGTGGCACAGAGTTTGCTTTGCCGTTTGGTTTATTTTCGGGTGGAGCTGGAGGTGGAGATGCGCCCTGTTCCAATACCTCATTGTGTATGAAATTTGCTCAACTGCAAGCCAAGCAGAAGGAAATTGCACACACACAGAAAAAGCCTTATCCTGCTCACAGGATTCCCTACATCTTCTGCTACTTATACCCCGTAATAGTGCAACTTTGGAGGGGCATATTCTGGACTATGTGTCATGCAAAACGAATTCCCTTGTTACAGAATTTCCCAGTGGGTATCCGCAAGTTGCATCACAAAACCTTAGCCGTCTAACTGGTTTTCTGCTCGATTGCTGATCCGATAGATGCCCCTAATAGATGGTGGCTTCTCTTGCTGTTGCTGTTGCTGTTGCCTCATGGCCCCATCGATGCCATTTTGCTTAGCCGTACACTTGAGAGCGTTTACTGTCCGTCGTATCTGTGTGTCTGTACTTCTGGGAGACTAGCGGTCATTGTTGGTGTCGCTGTGTGGCGTCTTTTGTTTCAATTGCTCTGAAGGCAGACAACGACATAAGCTGCTCCCACACGCACACCCGCATCGAAGCTAGGCATCATCTTGGGGCTTTGTTTTGCTCTCCTGCCTAACCCCAAAGCAGATACCCGTGCCCTAGCCCCCAATCTCCCTCGGGTGGGCTGCTTTATTGCAATTGATTTTGACGCCGCTGTTTATGCCAACTGAACAAATCTGAGGAGCTTAATCCAGCGGCCACTACACTGAGGGAATAAAGCGGAATCCCATTCTAACGTCTCCCTTTGGTAGCTTTATTTTACTTTTATTTTTGTATTTTTGCAGTGTACCTCGCAACCATTTTCCCACTCGACTTTGTTCCCACCCACAGTTCTGTTGATGTCAGCATTTCCCGTTGAGCAAGACAGCTTCAAACGTACGAAATCAAATCGAAATGTTTCGTTCGATATGCGGCAACGAAATCGAATGGAAATAGAAAACAATAAACTGACTCTGTTTAAGAATTAACCAAAGCAATAACCACGCAATATATTCCATATAATTAATACATTTTCCTTTATTTGTTCATCTCTAAAACAACTGGAAATCTTTCATATTTCCAGCTATGTGCATGGCATTGGCTCGGAGACACGCAACTCACTTTTCCATTTGCACAATGGACGAGACATGGTCCTGGTCACCACCTGTCGCCACGGCAAGAGCTGGCGGGAGCTGCAGGACAATCGCTGTGACGAGGACAATCGCGAATACGACAGGTAAGACTCCTTGGTCCGTGGTCAACGATGTTGTTGATGATGTTGTCTTCAGCAGAAAGTGTTTCCAACTGTCATTGGGGGTTCTGTAAGTAATTTGTTTAGCCTCCATTGATAGTAGGGTGCTAATAGCTCAAGTCCCTTTGGCACTTTCATCTTCATTCTCATCTCCAGCCTCCATTCTCCATCCTTTGGCCATTAACTAGAGTCCTTGGTGGCGGGCTTTGCTACGCCAGTCCGTGCCGACTGTCTGTGATTAATGTGCTCAAATCCGGCTTGACAAGCTCATTTAAATGGCACGACACTTGGGCGAAAGGCATTTACAATGCCAATGGCTTCCGTTTAGCATTAAAGTGCCACCAAAACTTGCCAAACCAGAGCTTCTTGACTTTTCAATCATGGTCCAAAGATTTTAGATGTTTTACTCAAAGTTTGGTTGGGAAAATTAACTTATAAAGGAGCAGGAAAACTTAATGGATGTTGCCTGGGAATGAGTCTGCTGAATGTCACCACCAGAATAGGGCAAAATATAAATCAGAAAAGAGTGAAACCGAGTCCGTGCCATAACAAAACAACAATGAATAAAGCAATCAAAAACAATCAAGCTAAACAAGCTATCGAAAGAGATAGTTTCTCCCGCAACTTGTAATCTCTTCTGTTAATTTCAGCTTCAAGTCGAACCGTCGACGATTTCTCTTTATTCTTTGACTTGAATCAGCTGCCGTCTGCTGTCTGTCGTCAAGCTGTCTGATTGTTTTCCTGTGTACATTTTGTTCAATTATAAAGAAACTTGCTACGGATAAGAATTGCAATTGAAGAAAATAAACTGGTAGTAGGGGAGAAATAGAGCCTGTAAAAAGTGAAAGAAATCAAGAAATAATGGCACAAAAAATCGAATTGAATGCAGAGAACGAGCAGAGCAGCCATCCTCCCAGTTGAATGGGCATTGAGATGGCAGCCATTCCTCCTGGCCATACCGTTAAATTCCATTCTATTCTAGCATTCCTCTGCATTCCATTCAATGCCATTCCATACATACTCCATCCAGTCATCCATCTATCCACGTCCTCCGCTCGCTCCTGGTTCCGCCCTGGTGCCTATCGAGTTTACTGATTTCCTGCTGATTAGAGATGTCTCGCAAAAGACATTACCGTTCGCTGTCTGTCTGTCGCTGCTGCGGAATCTGATTACCTATAGTATGCACACACAGAGGGTGCTTTGCTTTGCCTAAATCTTCAAATTAAGTTAATTTAATTTTTGTATTTGTAGCGATTCGGCGGCTCAAAAAACAGATCTTTGATGAGCAGTTACTAGCTCAGTTTCGGTCTCTAGTTTAAGTAATCTAATTCCAGGGTATCTAAAGCTACATCAGCTCGAATTAGAAGTCAACTTTGCTGCATTTTATTTGTAGTTTTTTGCTTCTGCTACTCTTTTGCCTGCTTCTACTCTTTTACAATAAATTTATCGTTCACTTGAAGAATATGCAAAGAAAAAAAAGGCGCAACTGGAATCAAGCGAGAAAGAAGAGAACACACAAAAGGATGAGCAAGAAAGAGTAAAAAAATGTCAACGCAACATTTACCGTTCACCTTTAATTGAATGCAATTTTTCACAATTTTTTACCGACTCTTCTCTTGCTCTCTCCTCCTTGTCTGTCTGCCTGTCGCTCTCTCTCTCTCTCTCTCTCTCTCTCTCTCTTTCGCTCTTGCAGTAATTTGACATGACTTATGCGACAAATCCGCTTTGGCGTCAAGCATCAGGGATTTATGCTCGCTCCCTCCACTTTCCCCCCAGCCACTGTTGGCGAGCTTCCTGGGGGTGCCACGCCCGAGTTTCAAGCCACCCCCTACACAGCCGGCCACAGTGCCTCCATCAACTGTTCTACATAATCAAGCAAATTGCTTTCCCACTCACATCATTTTTTATCAAGGGACGGACGCCTTCGTAGTCTGGAAACTTCGTTAATGCACCTGTCAGATATATATCTGACTCCCTTCCCTTCACCGGCTCCACCCACCACTCCCACATCTTTCCTCCATGTACTCCATCTATCCATCTCTTTCTGCACATGTGCTCCTCTGTCTGTCTAGCTTTCTCTATCAAAACATAGATAACTACAAGTACATAGTACCTACTACTTACATGTTTTGTACATGAACATGTTAAGAAAATTGCATAATACCTTTGAGTAGCATTAGGGATTTTCTTTTATTTTATTTTTCCTTCTTGTTTTCTCCTGCTACATTTTTTATGCGCTTACAATTTCTAAAAGCTCATGAATGCGCCCTCGACTGGGTCATATCGGGCAGTGTGGTGGGGGGTGGACGAGGAGAGCTTCGCTTCTGTATTTTTGATGAGTTTTCCCGTAGCATTATTATTCACAACAATTTTGCATTGTTGCTGTTTGTTGCTGTTGCTGTTGCTGTTGCTCCTGTTAATATACATAACCGTGCCAAAGAAAACCGAAACCAGTGCCCAGAAACCAAAATCCATTCAATTTGGCAATGATTTAAAGTTTTCTCATCAAAAAGAGAGCGAAAGTGAGAGAAGGGAGAGTGGCAGGCTGTGAGCGGTCAACGCTCAGCGAAGCATGAAATTGAGATTGAAAGAGAAAATTCTGCATGAATTTTTAAACGTAAACTGAATGAACAGTGTCTTTTTGTAATCCAGTTACGTCCCAAGCAAAGTGATGAAAACTTACGAAAAATCCAAATTTTAAACTGGTGTAAAATTAATTTTTTTTTCATATTTTGCAACAGTTTTATTAAGTTTTAAGAGTGATGAATGTTCTGTGATTTTATTTTGAAGCTTCTCTTTTGCATTAGGTGTTGCCATATGGCCTGCAGAAAGCCAGCATTGGCGTTGCCATGCTGTTAGTAAAGTGCCTTTTTGTGACGTGACCAAAATTCCAAAGAACTTTGCCTGCTTAAATCGTTTTTTTTTTGTTCATTCATAATATTTATATTAAATACGGTCCTATTATTCCTCAAGAAAATCCATTAAAAAGTTTTGGTTATTGCTTCGAGGAGAACTTTTACAACTGCAGTGAAGCAAAAACCTTGAGCCGCTTTTAATGAAATTTTTTTTGCGCTCTGTATGCCTTTGGTATGCGTGGTGTCATTTTTGCTGTAACGAGCGCCTTAGGCGCGAATGGGTGTTTTTGTTGCTGCCTCCAGACATCGCTATCATGCAACATATGTCATCAATATGCATTGCAGGCAGGGACAGGGACAGGCCACGAATGCCGGAGGTTGATGAGCCGCCGTCGCCACTGATGATGATGATGATGGGAGCTGAAACACGCGACATGCGGCAGAGGCGCGACTTCTGGCACAACTAATACGAGGTCAACGATTCTATCCATTTGGTTCTTGAGGCTCTCGGTTTGTGTCCGGTTTTTTTCTGTTGTTGTTGCCTGTGTGTCTTACTCTGTCATTGCCGTTTTTTGAAGGCGTTGCAAAGTGGCAACTGTGCCAAATAATGAGACGACGCCATGTCATGTCCTTGAGAGTAAAAGTTGTTTTTCTTCATTCCTTTTTTCGGCTTGTTTGCCTGACAGTAGACTCGCTGAAATTACGTATACTGCATGTAGGTGCCAGGACACGGCAACTGTTGCAGCCACACGTAGCAGCACCGCAACTCTCTCTCTGTGTGTGTGTGTGTGTGCTCAGGGCAGAAGAGTAAACTCTCAACTCTTGTGGCCCTTTAATTTTGGCCGGCAATTTAGAAAGTTTTTCTCTTTCCATCAGAATTTGCAAATTTCGAAATAATTTTTGGTTTAGTAGAGAATCCCACTCTTTGGCTGGGCAAAGGTCGAATTCGCTTTGGCATTACCAATTAAATAGTGAAATAAAATACAGGTTTTGCGCATTTAAATCAAATTTCAACTGTGCAAAACCTGACTTTTGTTGGTCACTTGGCCCCTTTGCCCGGAAAACTGTGCTTCTGTGGCCATTTCTGCACATTTAATTGCAGTAAATTATTCAAAATGAAAAGGGAAATTGTAAATATCAAATAGCAGAATGCTCTGGCTGCCACCGCTTATCCTAAATTAGTTAAATTCCCTGGGAATTTCTGCTCGCTCAAACGAAATTTGAGCAAATGAGAATCGGGAGGAACCCCTTTTGTCAGCCATTCAGCAACTCAGCAACCCAGGCCGGCGCTCTATGCATTTTTCATAATGTAATTTCCCAAGTAATAAATTATCATGCCAGCCAGCATCATCATTATCAACAAACAAGAAGGGAGCGAAGAAGGGGCCACTGTGGCAGTGGCAGTGTTACAGCTTGAACTGTGAAAAACTTGAGCTTGGTGCAAGGTGAAGCTGCCGTTGCACCTGCTGCAACCTCCAGTTTCCACGTTAATCTCAGATTTCCACATAAATCACTTTAAAAAGGCGACACACTTGCAGCCGGGCAAGAAGGTGGCAGTAGGAACAGAATGTGGCGCCTGCAACGCTGGAGCAACCCGCGAACGAACTTCGGACAGCGCAATGGCAATTTCTTTGAACGCGTTCTCCCATTTTCTTTCATTATTTCGCTTGTAGGGCTGTGTGTGTGTGTGTTTGTGTGTTACTGCCCCAAAAAACGTGCCAAGTAATTGCTGTCCATGGCATAAATGTCCTGCGCATAAGGACCTGCCCAGAGCTAGCTAAACAATTACACGAATTTTCAAGCAGAAACTTCAACATGGATCCCGGAAACTCCACCGATTTCTGGGTCAAAATTCATATCATGCCCGGGATTACCCGAGGTACTATACTCGTATCATAAGTTTATTTGCTTTTCATGTGTGCGTTTCTATCCAAAAAGAGAAGAGAGTTCTCTTCCTCAATCTCTGGAGCATTCTCCCACCCGCTCTTACGCATTGTGTGCATGCTGTGCATGTGCAATCGGTGGAAATCTTTGTGCGGTTTTTCGGTGCTTCTCCGTTGCGTCTCTGCTTTCATTATGAGCCATTAACACAAGCTGGCGACAAGCGACGACGACGATGAAAGCTGGTCCACAATGAGTGCAGAGAATGGCCCAGGGAATTTGGGGAGGGGAATGCGAGCTTTGCACTCGAAACTAATGCGCCATATTTAATGTTTCTCATTCTCCATCCTGTTCACCTTACATATATCCAGCACATACTCTTCGAGTGTGAGGGTATGCTGGTTTGGTGCTAGTTACAGTCAGATGGAAATTTAGTTGTCTCTCGTTTGTGTACCAAAATCATAAACATATGTAAGTCATCTAACAATGCGCTTTCTGTCGATTAAAGTCGCATCTCGTACTGTTAGGAAGCGCATCAACAAAACTTATTCCAAGTACAGGGCATCCCATTGTCGTGGCTCTCTTAGCTCTCTTCGTTTTATGATGCTGCTCCGCTCGCTGCGTTTACTGCTCTCTGCTTCTATCTACTCCCTTTGCTGCCTCTGTTTTGGGACTGCGCTGCTTCCATTCTCCGCTTCTTCCGTTATTCTTCTGCTCGTAACGCTGCCGCTGCTGACTGTCCGCCCTCTCATTCTGGCACTGCTGCTGGGATTCGGGCTACCTACTGCTCTTTCGCAGTCTCTGGCGCTTCTTATCTTATGTTGCGCTGCTGCTGCGCTGCCACTGGTCTTAGGGCAAACAATGACAATGGCAACTATTACAGCTGCATTGGCGCTCCGTCCCTACCCGCTCTCTCTCTCTTCATCTCCCTCTCGTGGTTTGAGGTTATTTCTTTTATGTTTTTCTATGCTGCTGTTCGCTGGGAGTCGAAACGCATTCCGAATTCGGTCCGTATTGCAGATGCTGTTTTTGAAAAATTTAATTTGCATTGAAATGCTATGCACATTTATTTTACCACCCACTGTCCCACTGTTGCTCTCTTCCTGTTGTAGTCTCTCTCTCTCTCTCTCTTGCGGCTGCCCTCTCAGCTAAAGTCAAATGAAAACTTTTTGCGCCTTGGCTTAACATCTTTCTTCTGCTCTCCACTGCTCCACTGCTCCACCTCTTCATTTCAATTTTTGTTCTGTTGTGCTCTCGCTGAGTTTTGCTGTTTTTTGGCTCTCTTTAATTAATTTTTGCATTCAGCTGCAGCTGACAAGCAATTCCCGCCACACATAGGCAAAAGTTGCCTTTGCTACGGACTCTTTTGGCTGCAAACTAAATGTTGAGGGGTGGGGTGCACGTAGAAGCTTGAAGCTAAAAACAAGTATGATAAGGCACAAATAAGGAACTAAGGATTCCAAATACACAAACATACAACGTAGGACCAAACTTTGGAGTACGAGATGAACGAGAAACTACTCAAAGACGATTACCTCTACATTTTGATGGTGATTGCTAGGCCTGTGACCTGTCAAAGGCAAGAGTCAAATGATGAGCGTAAATGCCAAATCAAAGCATCAAGCAGAGTCCCTGCGTCACTCAGTCAGCTTGTCAGTCACTCAATCAGCGCGAGTTCCCATTACGAGCATAACAATACACGAGAGGAGCAAAAGCAAAAGAAGCTGAAAGGAAAAACGGCAAAGATACGCAGCAGGTAGCAAAGGCCGCACAGAGAACCTTTGACAGCTGGAAACCACTTAAATTATGTTCACGCAGCGAGAAGCAAGTCCCTTAGCTTAATTGTCTATGTACCTAGGCTTAACCTTAAGCAATTGAAAGGAATTGAAGTTACTTTCCTCCTCGTTCTTTTGATATATGTACATAGAGCGACAGGCCATCAAACTGCCATCATTGCAGGCTGCCTAAGTAATTGCTGGATCAAAGTGGAATCTGTTGTCATCCTTTATCAATGATGCAAACTTGTAACTTGTTGCCATGTGTCCGTTTAAAGTGGGTAGAAGTTGTGCTTAAACTGTTACCTATGGCTAGGTAAATTAAGATCGAGAGGCTCCAGCGCATAATCAAAGCAAGAGAGTTGCGCCTCTCTTTGTCAGCAGTGCAAAAGAGTAAGAGGCAGCGCTGCCTAATTAAGAGATCAACGTCACATCTCCTACATCCTCCCTTCTCCGGAATGCCTAATGAAGTGTTTGGACACTGTGACTCCTGTGACTGTGACCAAGTGCCAGCAGCCAGCAGGCAGCTGTACCACATGCCAGTCCGCCTGTGGCTGAGTCAGGATCAGAGGCAGAACTTTTGACAAACGAACGCGTGTAAATAGCAAAAGTTTTGCTCGCATGATGTTGGCCAGCCCAAACAGAACACAACTGTTCGCTTAAGTTGGCTGAAAGCTAAAATCATTTAATTGCAGTTCAGCGGGGAGACGGGACAAGCATCAAGTGGAGCGAGGGAGAGCTGCTGACTAAGCAAAGACAACAACAACCGCATTGCATGTTGGCGGCTCTTAATTGCTTAAACAAGTAGCTAACTAAGCGAGCAACAAAACTAACTAAGTGGGAGCAGGAGAGAGAGTGCAGTGACCTGCGGAAAACACCAACTCCAAATGCAGCAGCATTACATGTGTAAATATGTACAGATGTACATAATAATGTATGAAAAGGTGTGCTTTGCTGCTACTGCAAATTGCCCCAATGAATGGGGTCAGAACTATGGCTACTTCTGTGCAAATGGGTGCTGTATTTATTCCATCTTTCTACTTGGAAGCGGAGCAAGCAAGTCCACTCAAATGACCCTTTATCCCGAAAGAAAAAAGCCCCAAGGCCTAAAGATATGTTTGCCAGAATGCAGGGCAAATGTTGAGTGAAATGTGAATGGAAAATCAAAAGTTTTAATGGGCTAAGATTTGATTGGGATTCCTCCTACAGCCGAAACAACTTCCTGCGACTCTCAGACACTCTTTCTAATTTGTGATAACCATTTATTTATACACACATAAATCTTAATTGATCAGCTTCATTTTCTTGGCAATTTTCTTTGCAGAGCATCTCTTAAGCCAATTTTCTACTCCACTTTTTCTACAACTTCTGACTTTTTGGCCTGCCTATGCATTTGGCAGTGTAATTTTTCAACGTTTTTTTTTCCAGAAAATGTCAGAAAGCAGCCAACATGCAATTTATGTTGTTTGCTCAAGATTATTCATACAAAAAGTCGACTACTGCTCTCCCTCTCACTCTCTCTCTAGCTCTCTCTCTCTCTCTCTAACTCTATCTAGCTTTCTCTCCCTCTCTCCCTGTACGTTGTCAATGCGGAAAGAGCTGCGCCTGCAGTTCTCTAATAAATTTTGTGCTGATTTTGCTTTTAAAACGCGAATGACCAGAGCTCAAATTGCAGACCATTTTGCGGAGAGGAGAGGGTGGAGAGGCGAGGCCTGGAGAGCTGGTTAGACGTGGTAAGGGTGCAGCTACTGGGGGGGTCAGAACATGCCTAACTACATGTAATTTTACGCGCAACTTAACTTGTAAACCAATGCCGCTGGCCAGCAACTCCAAACAATAGTCCTCTCCCTACCGTTCAGTCCCTCCCACTTTCAACAGAGAACAAAGCTCTGCACACACACACACACATACCTGTATAAATGTTTGGCGTACGTGGCGAATGTGTAATATGACTGCTTGTGATGAATTAGGGGGGCGCTTTGATTTCTGGAATTAAAGATTAAAATCACCACACAAGAGTCCCACCCAAAACTCTTTTAAGCCCCATACCAAATGGCGTATCATGACGTATGAGTAACATGAGCACATGTTAAGCATACGCCCCGTTGGACATTAAGATGGAATTACTGGAATTTCGTCAAAATATCAAAGAACACAGAAAAGAGTTGAATAAATCAATGGGATTCAGAGGGTAAGAAAAGGGAAGGATACTTAATCTCCATGATAACATCTCCCGAAAAGTTGCATAATGTACAATAACAGAAAAATTTCATATAAATATGTAGACACTTATGTATGTGGTATATAAGCTGATATATAGGAAGGTTGACTCCTGAGACGGTGCAGCCATAGAGAAAATAACAATTCGGAACTGAGAAACTTAAATATAATCAGATTTTTGTAGCTGTCATAAAAGTAAAAGTATCAATAGAAAAAATGTGTGCGAAGGTTTGCACAGATAAGCCACAAATAGCTGTTCCTTACATCTTTAGGTATACATTTACATAAACGGGTAATATAATGAGAATAAACTCAGAAACGCAGCCTCTTCTTCCCTGCTGTGCTGGCACATCGCATAACCTTGGGGCAGCCTTAGGAAAGTTTTACAACCTTTCATCGGCTTTGCCTGCCATTAACATATTGTAATTCCGATAAGTTCTCTGCGGGAAGAATGTAGAACCCGCACACCACGGCATTCCCTCTCTCACCCTGTGGGGTATGCCATTCCTTGATTAATTGCTGCTGTGGAAAGAACCATTATGCAGGGCCATGGCTCCAACTAATTTACATTGTCCTGCCGCTCACTCACTCACTTGCTCTCATGCGCCCCTCTCTCTTGCTCTCTTTCATTGCAGATACGACTACGAGACTCTACTGCAAAATTCCACATTCTGCTTGGTGCCGCGCGGCCGTCGCTTGGGTTCGTTTCGGTAAGCCAAAAAAAAGAAGAAAACAAATTTTCATTTTACATTTTTCACAATTGCATTTTTCGTGTGCTACATTGCTGTTGTTGCTGTTGTTTTTTGCAGATTTCTCGAAGCCCTGCAGGCGGGATGCATTCCCGTGCTATTGTCCAATGCCTGGGTGTTGCCTTTTGAATCGAAAATCGATTGGAAACAGGCCGCCATTTGGGCCGACGAGCGGCTCCTGCTGCAGGTAAGCGAAAACGGTGTACACTGAGTGAAAATTGGGTTCGTTGCCCCTGCAAATGTTGCTAAAAGCCTCTGTGGACTCTAAAGTTTCGCCCAGTGCATAAATGTACGGCCTCTATATCGTATATAAAATATTGAATGTACATCTTAACCACCCCTTCGGCCTCCTCACCTCCTCACCTACTCACCTCCTCCAGGGTGTCAGTCGTTGTGCCAGTTATTGGAGTCATTTGGCCAAAGCGATTTCATTTGGTGGCTCTGTCTAAAAAAGTGGAAAACTGTACGTTGTTTATTTGGTTTCTTTTACAAGGGTACTTGCATCACCCCCATGCACATGTGCACACACAAAGTCGTATCTGTTATGGTGTGTGGCACGGAGGGGCACTTGGAAGTGTCCAGCCATTTGGCATTGATGTATATTCTGCAGCAAGGATTTTGTTACGATTTGTGCACCTGTTACCATGTCCAGGGACACCGAAAGGAGCAGTCAATCGATGCAAATCACTGGCAACAGCAACAAAAAGAGTGCAGAAGGTCTTCGCTGGCTCCAAACAGCAACAAACGCTGGCAAATTGGGCAAATTAAATGCAACCTGAAAGTACTTTAAGAAACCAATTAAAACCCTCCAATGTAACCCAATTAAGATCCTCAATGCTATCGATGTGTACCTTATGTGGCACTTGCAAGATGCTGGTCCTATCCGCCAGAGAGCCAGCCGAGACCTCACCTCAAGGCCCACTCAGCGCGTAGAGTAAAGTATCCGCTTGGGCATTGTGGACAGTTTTGTGCAAAGGAAGAAAGATCTTGTCCGTTCATCTCGCTCAAAGGACTCGTTAATGCCGCTCCTGCTCCTGTCTGTCTGTTTGCACTGCTCCATTTGTTTGAAGCCTTCTTCGCGGGGCTGCGTCTGCTCCCGTGGCACTTTATTTGCGACAATGTCTTGCCACATTGTCCTCTTACACTTCATTCTCTCGTTCTTTTGCTTCCTGTCTCCTTTGCCTGCCTCGTCCCCATGCATTGGCATGTTTGCCTTTATAGTTTACTGGCCGGAAATGCAATTAATTAAGTTAACTTGAGCTGGAAACCAGAGCAGGCACTCTACCTGATGCTCTTTAAACGTTTTAAGTTTGCTGTTGCATGTGGCAGGGCTGCCTGTGGTCTGCCTGTGGTCTGCCTTGGCCATAATTATGATGGATGGGCACCCTGGTGCGATGCAGGTGCCCTGCTTGCTCCTCGGCTAGGTCCATTGGCCAATTAAGTCTGTGCATTGCAAATGAATGCCTCAATTAAGATGACATTACGCATACGCACACCGTACTCACACTCACTCTCTCTCTCTTTATCTCTATATTACAGGTACCCGATATCGTGCGCTCCATCTCAGCGGAAAGGATCTTTGCCCTGCGCCAGCAAACCCAAGTCCTGTGGGAACGCTACTTTGGTTCCATCGAGAAAATCGTCTTCACAACCTTCGAGGTGAGTCTTGTTCCCCCTCTTATTTGCATACACATCGAAAGTGCCACCCACATATATGCGGTTGATAGGGCTCCTGTGGCACGGTCTCCCTCTCTCTCCATCCGTGTCTGCGGGTCTGTGGTACTTCGCAAGTTGTTGCGGCTTCTTTGGGGTTTCAGGGTCTCAATCGACAAGAAACAAGTAACGAGAATGTTTCTCGTCCCACTTAGTCGCATGTGTGTGTGCTTCTTGGGAAAACTCTTGCCACCGACTGCCTGTTAGGGGCAGAAGTATCCAACAACTTTGAACACAGTGCGTGCTGTAATTAAGCGAACCGAACTTTTCGTTTACTTGCTCGACAAGCAGTTCTTGTTCAGTTCAGCAGTGCCATGCTGGAGCATACTTGTTCCTGGAATCGAATACATGCATACAAGTGTCATGGGGAATCGCCCAGTGGATAGTGGAAATAATGCTACAAATCGCTGCTCCTAATGATGGGTTGACTGCCTTCTATTTGTGTGTCATGCTAAGTGCTCTTTGCAGAGACTGTTTCGGCCTCTTAGCAGCTTCTATCGATGGTAGGGTAAGCAAACTTATTTGACTTGCCATCAATAAACAAGCAGCTTAAGTCCATGACCTCCCATTCGGCTAGCAGATGCCCTAAAAAGGTTCAAAACCGTTGCAGAAATTGCACAATTTATTGTCATAGTTATCAAATTGGATTGAATGAATACAATTTCATAGAATAAATATGAATATTCGTATGTTTTCCGATTGATGAGCTCTTTAACCACTGTGTGCTACTTGCAGTAATTAGTTATAAAATCAAATATCCAATAGATTTATCATCATTGAAGTTTATTCTCATCCTGGTCTGCTCCTGCTTGGCTGCTCTCGGACCACGAAAACAGCAACAGCGGAGAGGCAACAAAGTTTATCTTTCCCCGAAATGCCAGAAGAAATTCTCGTGTTTCTCAATGGAAAACGAGCGGCAGGCGGAGGGAGAGGAGTGTGGTTGCGGGCAGGCGCTGGTTAAAACGAGTGGGTTAAAGACCAAAGTTGAAGGAGATAGGAACCAAACCGCCATCCCTGGAGACCACTTTTCAACACTCAAATTGACACACACAGACAGAGATGGGAACAGAGCAAGGCGACAGACAGAGCAAGACACAAGCGTGCACGTGTGTGAGAGAGGAAGGAAGAGTAGTCAGAGGAGCAGAGAAAGTCCAATGGAAACCGGAGCTATGAGTCCCAGGACTCATCTCGAATTTCGCGTTTGTGGCAAATCGTTTGACGCTGCCACACGCACACACGCACACACACACGAATGCATTGTGTGATGGCGAGAAGGCTGTAGAGTCAGAGCGACAACACGAAAATGTCCTCGTGTCTGTCATTCCGCGGCCTGAGCAAAAACCGCAGCCACAGTGCAGGCAGTGCAGAGGATACGGCAGGAATAGAGTGCAGCTTGAAATCCATGCCAGGCACTGCATCAATTTGCAGTTACATTAAACTGCCCAGAGAGAGAGAGAGAGAGAAAGGAAGAGAGAGCGAGGAAGAGGCCAACAGTGTTTGCATGTTGCCAGATTAAACACAAATATTTTCCCTGGTCATGAGGCAATTAACCAAGAAACCAAGACATGGCCAACAAAGGACATGCACGCACTCCCTGCCACGCCCACAGCCCTTTCAGGGCCAACTCTCAATTTATTATTATTGGGCCAGCAGCTGGCTTGGGCCGCACTTAATTGATTTTGGATCCAGTTGAAGCTCAAAATGGGAGACGCCAGGCCAAGATTTATGTTACTTAGCCAACAACATGAAGTGAAGTGAAGCAGTTGAAATGGACGAACAAAGCTCTCTCTAGGCATTATGCTGGAGATTTTTATTATCGAAGTGATTCGAGAAATTTGGCTCCTGTCCCTCCTTAAAGCTCTTCGCTTCTTTTAGTCAGAGTTGAGTCGCTCTTTACTGTTTAAGTTCGACTAAAATTCGATTGAAAAAGTATCGACTGGCTGCTGGCCATGATTCCTTGTTCTGTATTTATTTGCCCACAAAAGATTTGTTTTGATTCGATTTGCATTAGTACATACGCTCCATTGGGGGTAATTTCTTTATGAATAGATTTCAAATCAGTGTTCCATTTTGGTATTTCCACCTGCACTTTCTCGACCGCCACACGCGCACCGCTCTGTGTGCAACAGAGCCCTTTGTTGTAATAGAATTTGCTCTTGGCTTGCATTTGATTTATGATTCGCGATTAAAATAATGATTTGTGGGCATCGACACGCACAGACACAGACACAGACACAGCCAGAACAGACAGACAAACGGACCCAGAAGGCGGGAGGGACAGAGGCAGGGCAACCTGCCAAGGTGTGGCATGTGCATCACGTAATGGACGGTAAGCGCTTTGCTTCTGGGCTCCTTTGACCCACATTCCGCATATGCAGATGGCCAAGCATGCAGCCAAGCTCCTGCTGCTACTCTATGTGTGTGTGTGTGTGTGTGTGTGCATCCCTTTTCGAAATACTTGTGGATGCCACCATACATATTTCTGGGGAGCATGAATTCCAGGCCTCGGCATGCAAGTGCAAGGAACACAAAATGCCTTTCTAATTTGTTTTTATTAATTTTGACATTTTCCCAAAAGGAGGCTTCCCTTCCCGTTCGTTGCCCAGCTCTCCCCATCCCTCTACAGTCCCTCGCCTCTTCTTGTTTACGCCACTCACGTCGCAGTTGCTGGGCAGCGGGAGACCCGGAGGGGGTGGCTAATAATCGTATCTTCTGGGACACGTACATATGAATATGAAAATGGGAAGAAGGACCTGGAGCTGGAGCTGGAGCAGCAGGGAAGGGACTTTGTGGAATCCTTTTCCATTTTGGGCCACACTTAAGACCCGTTCATGCAGCAAATTGATTTAGGCATAAACAAGCCCGGAACGCTTTTAAGCCTCTTGGCAGACACACACGCACACTCGCACACACGCACACACAAAACTACAACCACATTAACACAAACAAGAAAGGAATTGTCACTCTCGCAGGTCGCAGCCGTAGATACACTAGCAGATCCAGCGCTTAAAAGGCTCTTGGCTGATGCTTTGGATTGGATTGTGACAGTGCGGCTTTTTAGGCCTTTGTTTTTCTCGAGAAATTAATAGAGGCTCACCGTTTATAGAAATCACGAAATACGCTCTGGAAGTGTATGAAGAGTACGCAAATAATTTCTGCCGCCTCTCTCTCTCTCTTTGTGTCTGGAGGAATGCGAACCCACCGACCAGACGGTGTCAGTTTTTTTGTGTCTCTTTTTACCCTCTGCATCCCCAGACGGTCCATTAAAGTCAACAAACTGAGAAACACACACAACAAAAGGAGCGGCAGCATAAAAGCATTTTGCTCTGCCTTTGTTTTCTCTCTCTCTCTCTCTCTCTCTCTGAAAGCAAACAGCAAAGGTGTGGAGTGTAACGCAGCAGGAGGGAGGCGTAAGCGGCGGACAAAGAGAGCGACAGACCGGGAGCGAGGTTATTAGATGGCAGCGGGTTAGACGGAAAAACAAATTAAGCAGTTATTTGGTTTGTTAGACCCGCTCAACAATGCCAGCCAGCTCCCCAACCCCCTCTTGGTCGCTGTCTCTGGGGGGTACGAAGTGGCGCTGGTTCCGGACTGTGTCCTAGGGGAAAACACACTTTTAAAACTGCAGAATGAGAGGGATAATTTGGAAATTTGCGGCTCTAAATAAGTCAGCAGCTTCCTGCTAATTATGTTGCTTGGCTGTTTGCTCGCGGGTGGAGAACTTAATGCACAGCATCGCAATGACCAATGATCCATAATGCCAGTCGTTGTCCGATAGTTTTTTATTTTATTTTTGGTTGACACTTTTCGTTTGAGGACTTTTATTTATTTATATTAATAATGAATGCTGGAGTCTTCCTTCTTCAGTTGTGGCCTATTTCATGGGAATATTGCCCAATTTTTGTGTAATTTAAAACCCTTCAGCTGAAAACATTTAATATTCCATTGAAATTCAACAGAGCATCGGCTCTGAATAGTTTATTTTCACTCATTTTCGATACTTGGCAGCTCCTGCAATTACTTTAATTAATAAATCACGAATTGAGTCTGAAGCAAAAACCGCAGCAAAACTTTTTGCGGCCCTTCATCAAAAACGAAAGAGCCTGGAACCAAGCATGTGTATGTGTGTGTGTGTGTGTGTGTGTGTGTGTGTGCATGGATAGATGGAAATTGTATGCGGCTGATCCCCAGGATTTGCATATTTTTATTGTGTGTTGAACTTTCAATACCCAATCGGGGTAGGCCAGCGGCTGGTGCCGGCCCCTTCCGGCCACACAAAATCCCCGCCACAAAAAGGTCACTCAAAGTCCACTTACCGAACTAACTTGGGGCCTCAAATCTTGGCCTAAGCCCAAAAGTATACACACATATATACATACTCGTATGTGTGTGTATATATGTGAAAGCTTGATAGGATATGGGGGTGTGTGGGTGCGAGGGGAGTGCTGCTGAATGTGACCGATAAGCGTGTGTGGGGTATGCACTTAAGTTGCACAAGGGAGCCGCAGAGAAAGTTCGCAAATGGCCACAAACATTCTCAGCAGAACAAAATAAACCACAATAAGCCAAAAGCTCAGGACACTCTGCTCGGGAATAGTCTGCTCACATACACGCATGGCTTTGCATTCGTACGAGTACATTGGCGCTCACAATAATAGTTACTGCCAGTAATTAAATAAATGTACACAGAATAACTCAACTTGTATATGCATTTTTTTCAGTTCATTATTTGTTGTTTAAAAATGCGTCAAAATATCGAACTTCATCAGAGAATGATGCAAATAGTCTCATTACACATACCATAATCTCGACCACAGTTGTACATGCATAGTCTGTGTGTTGTGTGTGTGTGTGTGTGTCTCTGTGTTTATGGTACTTTGTTTATGGCACTGCGTTTTGCTAGGGCTTGTGGCTTTCTGCTTGCAACAAAATGTGTGGCATACTTT